GTGGGGTACCGCTTTTTGCTACTGTTGTGTTAATAAGCACTAAATACTTAAATAACCACTGCTGTAAAATGCAGCCATATCTCTTAAGTAGCAAGGTGATTACAAACAGTATGACTAGCTGAGACAAAACCAACTGCTGTCACCTTACTTAGTAAAAGTCTTTGATTACTACTTCATGTCCATCGAGTCCCACACGGGCCAGCACCCCAAATGACTATATCGAAGTTCATAACCACTCTTATGCCAGTTACAGAAGCAAAACATCTTGACAATAATGCTATGCAGCTTCCACTAAAATGGTCACGGTCCAGGGTGAGACACATCCATAAGAATTTACAACTGTCACAAGTATATTTGTACAGTACGTAAGTCAACTGTTTAAAGGACAGTTGATTACATAGCTGCTTACCAGCAACATTCATACCTATCATTACAAGGAAAAAAAGTCACTGTAAGAAAATTGTCTCCTGTGGGAATAAGCAGACAGAGGAGTACCACTTATATTGTCTTAAACAGCTCTACTATGTTTTTGGGCAAAGCCTGCAAGACTGAAAAGAATTCAAGCATACACTTAACCTCAAGTAGCTAACTCATGCCCTTACTGAATCTAATAAAACTACTCAGTTACTTGGAGTTTGGCATACGCAAAACTGGATGATTGGATAGGAACAAAAGTGAGGAAAATACGACTTCTCGTTCAGCTGCAAAACAAGCAAACATTACTTACAACTGTCTAAACCAATATTCCTACAAGACAAGACAGGTTCCTATATAAGCACATGATGAATACTATTATTAACTATGGAAACAATTCTTTACATTGACAGGACTCATTTCAAGAGTGTTCTTTTTTCTGAACACAGTACCACAAAATTGAAAAAGTCAATCCCATTTAATTTACCAAGCACCTGGTTTTAAAAGATGAACTTATATCCTGCTTGTTTAAAGCAGTACAAAAGGTAGTTTCCAGGGATGTGACTAAATGGAGACAGAAACCAAAAGCTTATGGAGCCCCAGCACCTCTTGGTCTTCATGGAATCCTTGCTAATGTAAATATAGTTATAGCTTCTTCCAGGTGTGGTGTAGTGTTGGACTAGTTAAACCTGGAAAGCGAGAGGATGTGGGAACGGAGGTTTCCAGAGGATGAGCACTCTTAAAGTTTGAAATACAAGTCTTTGTATTTTTCAGAATACCTTGCTGTATTTTAGAATGCTGGTAATTTCTTTTTAGTGAGGACAGAACTCAGCCTCTCATCTTACCAAAACCCACAGTCAGAATGAAATATAAGTCAACATTTTTTTTCAAAAGCTTTCTCATTTAAAAATGCATTATTTGGAACTGAAATATTAATTAAACCTCACTGCAAAGCCTTAGAGTCAGGAAAACAGGCTATGAAAAATTAACTAAACAGGATACTTAACTTCATAAAGATTTCAACTTTCAATATTTTCACAAAAAAAAATTCAGATACTTCAAAACAGAAAAAGAATGGCTCCTGTATCTTCCATGGGCAGAATGAACACAGTAGTTTGTGCACTGTAAAGAATATTTTCCATTTCAAATATCATTTTAACCAGAGATTGAAGTCATTCTTGCAAGATGGTCTGTGCAAATTAGTAAAATGCAGCTCAAATGAAGAGCCTTGAATGAAATGCCTTGTAACAGTTCTGTTACAAACAACAGTGTTCAAAATTTGAACTTGTTTGAAGCTGCTGTGTTACATGAATGGCTTATTTTTATATGCTGTCACTGACAACTTAATACTCCATTGTTCAGATGTTACAAAACAGTATCACACTAAGAACATTTCCATGAAATCTATGTAGTTTTGTTTACTGAGGTTAAGTTTTTGACCTGTGATCCAGGAGGAAGTAGTTAGGGACCTGCTGTGCCACTTAGATGCCAACAAGTCCATAGGTCCAGAAGGGATTCATCCTAGGGTGCTGAGGAAGCTGGCAGAAGAACTGGCCAAGCCACTCTCCACCATTTATCACTGGTCCTGGCGGGAGCCCCCAGTTGCCCGGGGTTTGGCCGTTGTTCCCCCAGCCACAACAAGGGCTGGAAGGAGGATCTGGGGAACTATAGGTCTGTCAGCCTGACCTCGGTGCCTGGCAAGATCATGGAACAGATCACCCTGAGTGTGCCATCAAGCAGCATGTAGAAGACAACCAGGGGATCAGGTCCAGCCAACATGGGTTTAAGAAAGGAAAGTCCTGCCTGACCGATCTCATCTTCTCCTATGACTGGGTGACCTGCCCAGTGGATATGGTCTGTGTCAACTTCAGCAAGGCCTTTGACACAGTCTCCTATAGCATCATCCTGGAGAAGCCAGCAATAGCTGTCAGCATCAGGCTCAGTTGCTCTGGGCTATTTCAGCCAACAACTCTTCCCAAACTGTGGTACAATTACGTTACTTCTCCTGTTAGTGGTTTCTTAAACGTATTTCACAGACAGGTTGGATTGATGGGCCAAGGCCAATTGTATGAGATTCAACAAGGCCAGGTGCTGGGTCCTGCACTTTGGTCACAACCTTGTGCAACACTACATGCTGGGGGAAGAGTGGCTGGAGAGCAGCCCAGCAGAGAGGGACCTGGGAGTGCTCGTTGACAACCAGTTGAACATGACCCAGCAGTGTGCCCAGGTATGGCATCCTGGCTTTTGTCAGGAATAGTGTGGCCAGCAGGAGTAGGGATGTAATTCTCCCCCTGTACTCAGCACTGGTGAGGCCTCACCTCGAGTACTGTGCCCAGTTCTGGACCTCTCACTTCAAGAAGGACATTGAGGTGCTGGAGCAGGTCCAGAGGAGAGCAACAAGGCTGGTGAAGGGACTAGAGGGAAAGTCTTATAGGGATAGGCTGAGGGAGCTGGGGTTGTTTAGCCTGGAGAAGAGAAGACTCAGGGGGACCTTCTCACTCTCTTCAACCACCTGAAGGAAGGCTGTAGTCAGGTGGGGGCTGGGCTCTTCTCCCAGGCAAGTAGCAACAAGACAAGAGAGTATGGCCTTAAGCTGCTCCAGGGGAGGTTTAGGTTGGACATTAGGAAGCACTTCCTCACGGTAAGGGTGATTAGACATTGGAATGGACTTCCAAAGGAAGTGGTGGAGGCACCATCCTCAGATGTGTTCAAGGAAACACTGGATGTGGCACTAAGTGTCATATTCTAGCCAGTGTGGTGGTGTTAGCTCATAGGTTGGATTTGATGATCTTAAAGGTCTTTTCTACCCTTGGTGATTCTGTGATTGTCTGTCTCTGTGAGATCTTGCGGCTGAGAGCTCTCTGAATGTGATCATATGCACTTTGAAAATTACTTACACACAGTTGTGAATCATAGAATCACACAATAGTTATGACTGGAAAGGACCTCTGAGACCACCGTCAACCATGAAAAAAAAACCAAAAAAACAAACCAAATAACCAAACTGCAACAACAAAACCCAGCCCACCCAAAAAAACCCCCAAACCAACAAACAACAAAACCCACAAACACAAAATATACAGTCTTGGCCACTGGATCATGACCTGAAGTTCCACATCTACATGTTTCTTGAATGCATTCAAGGATGGTGACTCAGGCAGGCGGTTCCAGTGCCTGATCACACTTTCAGTAAAGAAATTCTTCCTAATGTCCCATCTAAACCTTCCCTGCTGCAACTTCAGATCATTTCCTCTGGTTCTGTCACTATTCACTTGGAAGAAAAGGCCAACACTCACCCCCCTACAAACTCTGAAGCCCTGAAAATCTATGAAGTGATTAACAGCAGTCCCATAATGGAAAGTACCTGAGAACACTGAAGGTAGAATAGAAGAGCATATGTAACCTTTCACTACAAAACCTGTGCAAATTTCTGTAGCTGTCATCATCAACTAAGCACTTCTCTTTACACAATAAAGAAAACTGAGGAGCAGAAAGACTTTCATTTCTATTGCTCTGAAAGAATTAAACTAAAGAAAGAGTAGTGTGGAAATCAGAGAATAGTGATTTTGCTTCAAAGGTGGGAACACTTGCTGCTCTTACTTTTTCCAGACCACTGCAATGGAACTGTGTAGATTTCAGTATTGAAATACATGCAGTTCCCCTTCCTCAGGCTAAGCAGCATCAATGGAGCTGCAAGCTTCCACATTTTCCTAACAAGTAATATCAACTTGAGTAATTATTTTCATGTTTCTAAGCATGACCAAAAATCCCCTTCCTTTCTTCCACAAACTCATATCTTTTTCCAGCAACACTAGCATAGAACTGCAGTAATCTGAACCAGAATTTACTTTGTGAGGCTTAGAAGTTCCAAGAGATTGATACTTATTTTTCTATTAAGCTCAAGGCTGAAATTCACAATCTATACCTACTTGTTTGATGGAATTTACAAGCTCTGAAGAAATAATATTTTCTTGAAAAACTCATAAAATATATTTATCCATGTGACTATATCACTCATAGCTGTTCATGAAAGTGCTATGGATAGCTATATGATTATGTTTCATACCAACATTGATGGAAAAACTAGAGGTTAAAGCTATATAAATACCGATTTTTATTTTTATTTTTTTTTACCTTATTGTTTGAGGCCCCATTTCTCAAATTCAACTCACCAACCAATTAAAATCAGGATTTCCAAATGTCTATGGGAAATATCTAGGCAACTCCAGGCAGCAATAACATATGGCCAGTATAAAAAAAATTGACTGTAACAGGAATGCTGCAAATTTAACACTGAAGTCACCACCATTGTCTGCACTGTAACAGACTCATTTATAGATTGGAGCTTCCTGTTTAAAGCTGTATGTTTCCACTGCCAGTGGAATGTAACAGCAGACTTAAGATCACTATGTGGGGAATTCATCCTTGGCAGAATGCATTCTCTAAGCCAAAAGACTGTGAAAGTATTTTCAGCAAAAATCAGTATTTGGCTTTCTGAGAAATGGGAGTTTCAGAACATGTACAAACTGACAACACAGAACAGACTGCCAAAAACTTCACAAGAAAGTACAGACAGAAGAGCACAACCCAATTCTGTCAGTTTACTATGTGTGTTGAGAAATAAAGAATTTACTGTGAAGTACTAATGCCTCACATCTGAGTAACAGGAAGTATGAACCTCTTGTAGATTAGAGTGGACTTTCTGATCTCCAAATTCTTACAAAATTGAAGCTGCTTCCACTGCTGTATATCAAGTAAGCAAAAAGATTACTTTTTGTTATCTGTGATAAACTAAGCAAAGAATTGCACCTCCTGTTTTTCTTAGTAAACATTGGTTATATTGACTGCAATTTCATTATTGAACAGCCTAACAACAAAATCAAGATTCTCATTTCCAGCATCACCAGCCAGCATGGAAAGATCACCAATCCATATTCACAGGTTTTAACAGTAAAAAAGAGAAAGTCCATCTCTGTTTACCTGACCTTCTTTTTATTTCTGTGTAAATTAATATATCTGAAACAGTTGTAATTATGCAACTAATCTAGACTTATAGAAGCACAACTAGAGAGTCTTTCCCAATGCTAGTGATACAGTATTTCCCTGCTGTCTCCAGTAACATAGCACAGGGACAGATGATGGTCTTCTTAGGAAAGCTGATGGCCAGGTTCCACAGCTGATAGAGATTACAAACAAATGTGCATGATCAGCAATACAAATATTTTCACAACACTGCGTACATGCACCAGAGAATATCTGAAGACAGTTCTTACAAGCACTTGCAGAAGTCTTTAACATTACATTTATCTTCTAATTCAACAGAGGTAGTTTGGTCCTCCTAACTAACTCCAAGATGCACTTTCAATACAGAAGGACCAAAGTGACCACACAAGAGCATATTTGCATGTTTCACTGAGTTTCACTGAGTCTTCCTCTGATTAGAAAGATTCAAGTTTCCCTTTGTTCACTTTATGCCCTTGTCTGGTAACAAACTTCATCTAAGACAAAACATGGAACTAACTAGAACTTAAAATAATATTTAAAAAAAGGAAGATAAAATAATCGTAATAATATTTTCATTAATTTTAACATATTGCTCTACTTCAAAATAATTCACTATCCTTCATGAGTTTATAAGCAGATCTGGTAGGCAAATACATTTGTAAAAGGATTGCTTAAAGTACTTTCAGAAGACATAAGCTAATTAACATGGTTAATAAATTACAGTTACACCAAGGGATAATTTTTCAGTTTAACACATTTCCTCACTCCTACAGCAAGTGGAAATTTAAAACTAGAATTCAGAGGACCAGTTTGTTACAGATCTTGGCAATTCTCAAAGCGTAAGAGAGGGGAAGGAAGGAAGTCTTCAGTTATTTTACGAAGCTTTTGTCCACAGCATTGAGTGTTTACTAACAGTCAAGAGAACAACTCACTTTCTCAAAAAGGTAATCCCTTACAAGATTCTCAAGTAAAATGCAGAGTAACCTATTTACGATACACTAGAAAGGCAGAGTGAAACAGACTAAAAGTTTTCTTACATTGTAGATACAAGACATATGTTAATCTCTTGAATGCTGTTGAACTCTCTTACAATTCTGATCCTATCTTCTGATTTTGTATTTCCATCAAGTCTTCGGTAATCTAGCCCAGATGCCATACAGTATTGTTCCAGCACATCTAGCAACTAGGTTGAAAAATAAAATTTAAAAAAATAATTAAAAAGAGCATCAAGTGCTTACCATTATCTTTTTGATTAAACATAATGATAAAGACCATGTTTCTCAAATACATTTTCAAAAGACCAAGCACTGAAAATCAGAGGAAATCAGTATCATTGGCACTCTTTAGCAGTGATTCAACAGCACTCAAGGTGACTAATGTTGGCCTGCTGTGGTCTCACTCAATCCTCAAACCCTGCCTGCCTGGCCCACCTCTAAGTGATGCTGAGTCAGTTCAACCCAATAAGCAGGCAGGCAACTTATATAATTCCCTACAGTTTTAGCAAGTTACAATGACCTGAAGTATGACAAATGAGCACCAGAGTCCAAACAGAGAACCAGGCTGGTATGTGCTGCCAGAGTTCAAAGGGACAGTGACAGAGACTGCAGTAAACAGCAGTCAGTGCGGTCTTGAAAACTCTGAAGCACAGCCTGAGAGACACATAAGTATTTTACTACATCCAAATATTAAATCTGCAGTTTGCTTTAAAGCTACAAAATTATTAACTATTTAAGACACTGAATTCCTGCTATTATTTTTTAACACTATCATTTGGAATATTTTAAAAAAGAAACCTATATTACAGTTTGCACTATTTCAAGAAACATGTTATTCCCTAATAAGAAAATCAAGGAGCAAACCACTTGAAAGCAAAGTGTGTCTACACTTCTTCCTCCCATACAACATTGTTTCAGTTCAAACCAACTGGTGTAACAAGTCTCAAGGCTGATGTTTCATCACTGGTAATGATTTAACACCCAGTAGAATAGAGGAAATGTACCTACTTTCAGTGCTAACACAAATGTCATACAATACCTCAGCTGTATTTTGCCATTTTGTATTTTTTCAAGACATAAAAGCTGGACTCAGCATAAGCTATCTACATCTGAAGTAAAACATTTTAAAAAGCTCTAAGGAAGGCAGTGGAGTGAAACATTTGGTTTACCATCGCCATTTTTACCATTAGATAAGGTTTCAACATGGTTCTGGAGTATGGCACACAGGCCTTATTACTTTTCGCAGTAAGGAGAGAAAGGAGATGTGGTTGACAGCTGTCACCTCAATGCTCTAAGCTTGAAACTTGCTGCGGCAGTTAATTGATAAAAATCATAAAAAGCTCACCTTTGTGGAAAAAGAGAAGAGAAGAATTTTATCCTTGTTTTTTCTAAAGTGATTTAAAAGCTGCTGAAGGACCTGTAAATGAACCACAGAAAACAGAGATTTTACCTACAGGTAATCTCACATACACTTACTTGTGTTTTCAGCCTTTGATTGGGCTTCACTTTACTGTTTGCAAAGCCAGAGGCACAACAAAACCCACTACTGTCATAACGAATGTGTTAAAGTAATACAGAAGCCAAACCTATGCATTTTTCAGTAAACTATACAGAAATCCTTCTACAAAAAGGTAATCATACTACTAACAGGTACATTGAAAAGCTATGTGTCAGTGCACAGACTGCAACAAAACATTACTCACTGCATGCACCAGCTCAGCTTGTGAATTTTTGCATTTAGCAAATGCACACAAATCCCAAAAAAACAGGAAGGTCTGTTCAAGTTTTCTGTGCTGTATCTGAGTTCAGAACTTCTTGGAACTTGTGTTCTTAAAATAACCAGTGAAATGTATGTCCATCTCTGCTCACAATCTCATCTGTTGCTTTGTTTACAGTACGATCCAGCTTCCCAGACTCTGCACAGACCTTGAAATGAAAATAACCGCCCACACACAATGTTCTTCTGGCAGGGAAGCAAATAATCCAGAGCTTTGGATATAACAGTGATACTGTTATTTTCAAAAGAAGCATGTCCACATCTGGCAATGGAAGCTCTGGAGTATCATGCAGAAGCAATATATAAAGGGGAAAGCAGAATTTTCTGTACCGTATCTGTAGCTTCCTCTCATTGAGGAATAAATATTTTAAAATTATATTTATTCAGTGATAAATACATAAACTGTTAATCAACACTGATTTCACAAAATGCCTAACAAATCCTTGACAACCAAATAATGTTTGCATTATGTTTACAGTTCTGGATAATATCTAAAATATAAAATAGTAATATCACTTCACTTATAAGCCCTTATATATAGATTAGCCAGCCAGTTACAAGTAAAAAAGGTATGAACAAGGTAATTTTTGCCCAATTTCATTGCACAGCAACACATAAAACAGGAGTTACTGGGGAAAAAAATCCACATCAGGTAGTTTAACAAGAGCTAAATTACTTACTTTTGCATTTGACTTAGCCATATCAAGAAACAGAAGAAAAAGAGTAAACTGCTTTTAAACTAGAAGGACTTTGGCTATAGTATTATTGTCTTTATGACTGAAGTACAAGTCAAATAATTAATTTCCTATTGGAGAGTACACAAACAAATCCCCGCATTCTGTTTAAATAAGACAGACCAATGTCACACCCATTGGGATTTTAGGTATTTTGCAATAAAGAACAGCTCTGATGAACAAGGAAAAGTAATTAATGGTTTTGCACCAAAGATCAATAAATTATAAGCTTGCACACCAGAGTATTACCCTGAAAGTTTGAGTCTGAAAAAGAAATGCTCAATCATACTCAAGCAAAAGTAACATGCCCCCTCATAAAGAGTCCACACAGATTTAAATGCGTATCTCCTCATTGCTACACATTGGGAGCTGTTGGACTGTGCAGAAATTTCACCTCTCACATCTGAGAATACCCGGTTTGTATACAGATGTCCAAGCTAGCCTAGAGTGTTTCTAAGTCTTCAAAACCACGCCTGCGTCAGCTATGTCTAATAGTGGAAGTTACTAGTCATTACAAGGTGCTCTGATAGACTTCCATTTTTGTATTGAAATAGTGATAATATGCCAGGCAAAATAAATAAATCAACCCAAAACAGTTATTCCTAACAGACAAAATAATTAAGTGTAGTATTCCAAAACTCCACAAATGGATGTCTGTGGAAACATTATACCCTTACGTTAAAAAAGTTATTTCAAGTGCCAAGATGTTTAACAGTCCTTTTCACTTAGAAAGCTATAGAATATCTCAAAGCCAGAATTTTAACAAAACTGTAGAAATAATCAGAGTAATTATGAGAAACAGTGCAGGCTTTTAAAGCTACCCTCATTGTTCTCCACTTCTTTTCCAAGCAGTCCCTTGTAACTCCAATCTCCAACTCTAGTGTTTAAAAAACAATGGAATCATTTGCTCTTACTTTGCAGGTTTCCACTTTCTAAATTCATGACGGGAAAAGGGTGGTTTCCACATAAGGCAGAACAAGGTATTTTAGCAAGAAGGTATTTTAGCAGACAGGTTAAGATTTTCAACACACACCCCCCACCACCCCCCGAAGAACTACAGTAACTTTGCTAATGAACTTCAAAAAACCCTGGCCTTTCCCCTGTCCTGAATAAATTTGAGTAAACACCACAAACTTTCTCTTTGCCACTCATCTACAAATGAATAATCTCATGTGCCAAAATTTCTGAGTAGCCTCTGCTAAATTTTAATTTGAAGGACTAAATAATACCTATTCAGGTTACACTACCAGATGAAAGTTACAGAGTATTGAAATGAGTTTCCAGAATTCATTTATAGAACCGAAAATGTAAACTATTACAGTGAGTCAAGGCTATTTTACTATTATGTCTCATTTATGTTCAAAATGTTCAAAATATGCTAAGTGTATCACTAAAATACATCACCAGAAAGTTTAGAACATTCTGTTTTTACTAAGATGTATTTCTGTACTGCACAAAATTCAAGTTCCCGTTAGAAAAGAAAGCAGACCAAGTTCCCTCAAAGTAAGCCATTCTTTCAATAATTCTATCCATGTTTGCAATGGACTGAAATAAACATTATAGATTTCTAAAATAAATCACCATGTATAGAAAACCTGAGATCATGAACAGTGGGAAGATATTCTACAAATCTACAGGGCTGTCCTAAATACAGCATCTGAAAATGCTTCTATTCTGTAATTCCAAAAGTAATAAATCAGACAAGCAGAACCCCTCATAATCATCTTATTTTATGCTGGAGGAAAGAAAGGTTGATATTGCTTTGTACTCCTAACGCAGTTTAGTGTCTGATCTGACTTTTTCAAAGGTGAAAATACTGAAGTGTTCTGCAAAAGAATTACAGCACTTCTAAAAATTTTCTTTCTTACTTTTCTACAGAAATCTGTCTTGCATTTATCTTTCATCTACCAAACATACTAAAGAAATATTCTTCAATATAAATATGACTTCAAAAACACATAGCTGGGTTTTAAAATGCAGTTTCCCATGGTATACATTGTACTTTGTTTTAAAAATAGAAATTCTCCACACCAAGGATCTTCATGAATATGTGCTTATTGATTATGAGGGTTTTGGGGAATTGTGAGAATTTCTTGTCTTGGGTTGTTTTTTCCCCCCAGTTATCTACAATCTATATAAATACCTTGAAATACATGAATATTGATCAGCACAAACTGATAACCAACTAAAGAGGTCAAAAATTAAAAAGTATGACCAGGAAAGCAGCAAGATAGAATGAAGATGAACATTACATGATTCACCAACAATAAAAGAAACCACAACAGAAGTAATCACCACGCTAGTAGATCATCACACAGTGACGGAAGTGTTTTAACTATGTATTTCTCATTTCACTCTACTTGGGGTTTGGACTAGATGACCTTTAAATGTCCTTTAAAATTACCTTTAAAACTCAAACTATTTTATGTGTACACAAATCATTAAGTTCATAAGGGTTTTGTTTTGCTGTCCTTTCCTTCTCCAAACACTTCTGGCCACCACTGAGTCAAAAGTTTTGTGGAACTATCTGTCATTAATATTATGACACCAACGTCCTTGACTGCAAGGGTCACTTCCATGACCATCACTAAATATGTTACGCTAACACCTAAGGATACCTTAGCACCACAGATCACTCTTACCCAGCCTTTGCCCAGAGGTACCCTAATCCAAGATAGGAGATATCTGCTATAGTACCACCATCACAATCAGAATTATTTAAAAAAGCAACAATTAAGTTTAAGTTTTCTTATATCCATATGCAGATATATTATGAATACTTATTTTTTTCTCTAAAGAAGAGGTTTACCTTCATTTTTCCACTGTACTTTGGATCAGAGATTGCTTCAAAGGCAGCATTTTTGCTTAACTGTGCAAAATCTGGAAAACTGGAAAATACCTCGCTGCACACCCGTTTGATATGTGCTTCCTGGAAGAAAAGTGGGAAGTCTGAATAGGTGTTAAAATTAGACCTACACCAGAATGCCAGTAAGCCATACAAGGAGTTAAATAGCCTAAAACAAGTAATCTGCTGAAGTAACTCAAGCAGAAAGACTTAGGTGTTTTCATTCAGTTCACTACAGAAGTGCTAGATAAAACATCTACCTGATTTAGTTCACTTCATTTTTTCTTAAAAAAAAGAGAACCCTAGTCTGAAACAATGGATTCCAGTTACTACAGTAAGAGATACCCAACACTATTGTCCTGGGTCAAGACTGCAAAAGAACTGGCCAGAACTGAGAGTCTCAAGAACTCTGTTGGCTTGAGGATTCCATTACCCAACAGTCATGCACCATGACTTCTCTTGACTCTCTGGCATGGTAAGCCAATATAAGAATTACATATTGATCCACTAATATGACAAAAAACAATATGGGAAATGCCTTGAAACTGTTCAACAGCCACATTAAAGCTCCACTGCTAGAATGTGGGTATCTCTGAACTTGAAAGTGACCACACACTTTAAGTCTGCCCTTCCAGAGGAGCAGAAAATAACCGCTCTCACCTAAAAATAGGACCTGTGATGGACTTTAGTATTAAAAGTAAGAAATGATTAAAATTTCTATTTCTTCAGCAGGTTTTTGGAGTACTTGCAAAATGTTATTTCAAACTCTCAAATCTATTACAACAAAAAACATATACACAATATAAAAAAACCCCACCAGAACACTTAAAACATTTGGGTATTTACTGCATGTAAGCCCTGGACATTAACAGTAACATTTAACAAAATGCAAAACTGCTTTAATCGTATAAACTTGCCAAAATTAGATAGGATTTTCTCATTTCAGTTCCCTTGTGGCTTCTGAGAGAAAGAGGCAACACCTCTAAATCCCTCTGCTCATTTTTTGATCTTAAAGATCACATACAAATATTTCTAAAAACCCTGCCCTTTATGGGTCTTGTAGAATTCTAGCCACAGTAACAAAATAAACTGATACTATTCTCTCTTTGATCATTTTCTAATAACAAGTTTCTCATTATTTAAAGAATCTCAGCTCTGAATATTAAAATACTAAGAAATCCAATCTGATTTAATAATATTTATTTGCACAAAGATATTCATCTTACTAGGAACTAGTCATAAATGGAACAGAAAGAACATTATTAGAAATCACTAAAAGTTACTCTTCCCAATATAGTTTTCCAATGTTTCTATAAAACTAAGTTTCAGATATGCATCAACTAAATGAAGATACTGTTGTGTAACATCTCTATTAAACAAGGGCTATATTCTGAATTATTGAAGAGGAAAAAAAAAAAAGGCAGAATATCTTAATTACACTTAGTTAAGACTTAAAAAGGAGACCAGCAGCAATTTTCATTCATGGGTTTTCATCCCATTTTCCACCAGTATTTTTAAGTAACTTCTGAAACTAACTTGCTGTTTGCTAGTGTTGTCCATTTGCAGCAGTGCAGCATGATTTGCAACCTTTTGTAGAATTGTCAGGTAACTGAAGCACAGTGACTTAATCGTTTCACCATGAGCATTTACCTACCAAAAAGAAGAAAAAAGAAAAGTCTGCAAACAAATACTCCTGAAGTAAGAAATAACCTAAAATAATTGCTATTCCTATAAGGTTTAATGCATTAGCAATTTAAAATAGTACTATAATTGATCCCAAAGTCATGCATACTGTATTTCTAAAAAAAAACAAAGCAAGGTTTTTTTTCTTCTGCTTTGAGGTCCTGTTGATAGAAAACATCTTCTCAATAAGGGAAAAAACCCACAGCTATCTTTACAGTTCACTAAGCATTTCAGATGGCATGATACCTGCCATTAGAGAAGGGTCACCAAGATGATCAAAGGCCTGGAGCACCTCTGCTATGATACAGGCTCAGAGAGTTGGGGCTGTTCAGCATAGAGAAGAGAAGGCTCCACAGAGACCTTATAGTGGTCTTCCAGTACTTGAAAAGAGCCTACAGGAAAGCTGGGGAGGGGCTTTTCATCAGAGAAGACAGTGATAAGACAAGCAGTAAGGGTTTTAAGCTGAGAGAGGGGAGAATTAGGTTAGAGATTAGGAAGACATTCTTCACTATAAGGGTGGTGAGGACCTGGAAAGGGTTGGACAGGGAGGTTGTTGATGCCCCATCCCTGGTGGTTTTTAAGGCCAGGCTGGACAAGATTTTGTACAATCTGATCTAGTTGTAGGGTTCCCTGCTCGTGACAGGGGAGTTGGAACGTGATGACCTTTAGGGTCCCTTCCAATATTAATAATTCTATGAGTCTATTCTGTATCTACAGAAATTACTAGGATAACCAAGAACTCCTTGGTAGGAAAAAAGTCAGTAACTTTAAAACTTATTTAAATACAAATCAAACCAGAGCTGCCTGAATGACATCTTAACCTAAAACTGCTATCTTTTCTCTAGAGCAGAAATTTATGAAGTTTTATAAACATCTCAAGTAATGTAATTCAAACAACTTCAAACATTTGACAATACAAAAGCAGCAGTAATAGCATCAGATATACTTCTAGTTATGGTTATTGGCAGATTTTATCAATATTTATTTTCCTCTCTCTTCTAAAGTTACTACATTTCATGGTTAACCTTGGAATAAGACAACCCATATGAAGACTTAAGTATCTGCAGGCCTGCACATCCCTTTATGAATTAACTTCAACAGCATTTTACTTTTTCCTGCAAAACATCATAAGAATCAGAAGCCTGCAAAGAACTAACACTAGCATCCATGGAATATTAAACAGGCTGACAGAGGGATTGTTTTAAAAGAAATATGCAGAAGCCTGAATAAGCCACATAATCTGGAAAAAACCCCACTATACAAGACTCAAAACAGGCCGGAAAGAAAATAGGAAGAAGCAAGTATGAGACATGCTTCTACATGTGAAAGACACAAGCTTACCTTAAGCCTACTGAGTGATACAAAGAAAATACAAAGGTAGACTAATCAAGTGTTAACAAAGTCCAGATGCATAGAAGAAATCTACAGAGCTGTTACTCATGCATGAAGCTCTGCTTGTGCTCTACAGCTACTGCCAGGTCTCCATTCAAGGAAGCAAAGCAAAGCACATACCTAGCAGCAATGAAAGACAATCCAACTGCAGCTGTAACACAAGCAAAGCCCACAGAGCCTGCTGGGTCCAGGATGCCTCTGACTTGTAGCTTCTGCACTGACCACCAGAGGTGTAGGGGAGCAGCATGCCTGCCACATACTGAATGTCTCAAAGAAACATCCTTGTCAATGTTAACTGTTTCACAGTTGCACTTACTAATACAACAAATATAGAACTTACTGCAAAAATAACAACCACCTGCTCAGGGCACGCAAAGCAGCTTTGCTACATTTCTAAAGTGCCTAACTCCATCATGCTCATGATGCAAACATCTATGTTTACAGTCAGGATTTCCCAAATAAGTGGCCTACAACCACACAGCTGTTTCAATCAGCTCCTTATCTGCTGACAGGCTCTTGAGAAAACTGATCTACCACCCATACCAGAAAGACTAGGTTCTGAAACCCAAACAGTAAGACTTCTTACTTTGTAACAACAGTTCTTCCTTTTACGACCACTGCTGCAGCTACAGGGCTCTCCAGCTCGTAATACTAAGCTCACATCCTCTGTCTCTAGCACAGCCTGGTAAACCGCTTTCTGGAATTCAGTCAGGGAACAGTATACCATCTGCCAACAGGAGAGAAACAAAAAACACAATTATGTTCAGCATGCACTGAAAAGCAAAGAGCACTGCATCAAAAACCATGAAACACTGAAAATTAAGCACAAAACTGTAATATATTTGCTCAAATAGTTACATCAAATTATTCTACAACCAAATGAAAATATCGGTATCTTGATATCAAAATAGTAGGGAAAATGTATGTATTTTAGCCCCCTTCAAAATTCTACAGAGAGGATCAATATCAACCTGCAATAACCTGCTGCTAGGCTTCTGTGAATCTTAAAGTATGGCTTTTGTGGACAGATAGGAGGAGGAGGAAAAACTGAGAAACACAAATGCAAATTATCATTAAGGATTCCCTTCTGCATTGCCAGTTGCTTAATTTACTTTTTCTTTCCTCCTTCTAGGCACTAGCTGTTGTAGGGCACTACCAAAGGCAGGACAAACAGAATAAGCAATGAGGATGCAAGGATTTACACAGTGCAATGGCCAAAACTCTTATCCTTCTTCTGAGAGACCATGGGTGGCATCTCTATGGCATCTTTAGCCTTAAGCAGCAGGAGACAGAAATCCCAAGATCAGTCTTTAACCTAGGCCACCCACAAAGCAGCAGCACCATGCTGAGCTATAATAATAGAGCGGTAACTTGAACATATACTCACATCAACAAGAGAATGAAAAGAATAAAACCTGCTAGATTTAGAAAAGCAACTGACTGATGTTTGTGTTAATCTTTCCTCCAGAAGACAGTTTTGATTACATTATTATTTACTAGGGATTCAGAATACAATATTATGAAAACAATATTAACTTCAAACTAATGTGTTTGACTACTAAGAAAGTATAAATATATCTAATAAGAATTCATCAAAACTCTTAGCTATAGTAATAAATATAATAATTTTATGTAATGTTTACAATGTCACTAGATGAACAGTGGTTCATCTGTACAGGCTTATCAACAGCTTTAGGTCTGAAGGCTTTCTTTTATTTAGTGATCAAAAATAAGGGAGTTTAAAATTAAAAGCATACTACTATATGTACAAAGTGTCAAGTTGCAAATTCGTAAGTTCTACATAGAATTTGAAGAGATTAGCAAATATTTCATTGGATTTGCACAGAAAAATACAAGTGATAATAAAAGAGATGTGTAAAATCACTAGTCAGAAGTCTAGCTGAGCATTTTCATGCTTGGTTAACTCCATTTCAAAATGCAATCATTGTAATTATGAGAACAAAGCACACTACTGTATGTGCATTTTAACCAAGGATTCTTCTTAAATTCTTAAGTCCATAAGAAACCCAAAAACTATTAAAGGCATAATGAAAAGTGAAAAAAAACAACAACAAAGAGGAAGAGATACATTAATTAACATTGTATTTGAAATGTGTAGACGCTCTTACTCTGTCTTCCTTTTTTGGCAACTGATCACTAATAAGTGCTTTGGTACGTCTCAGAAACCAGCCAGACATTTTTCTTGCTAGCTTCACCATGGCCTTACGACCTGTTGCCAGCTCTCTTTTAGTTGCTGTGTGTCTCTGGCCATGCTCGACTGGATCAGAAAATTTCTTCTTGAATTGCAGTCTGCTACCCAAAAGCCCTGGTACAGCCCTATTAAAAAACAAAAGGAGAGGGGGCCTATGTGAAGGAATAACAGAATTGTCTGTTACTGTACTTCAAGGCAGTCTATCTTTTTCCATTGATTAAAAACATACTGTAAATAGTTTCTCGTTAATAAGACATCTTACATTAACAATCACTGTAAAAATGAATTAAAAATGTATATATAAATAGAAACATATAATACTTCCAGACATGCCATTTTTTATTTTACTTATTTTGATCCTGAAATGTTAGGAATCCCCTTAGGAAAGGACTGCCAGCTCTAGAAAAACTAAAGCTCAGCAGAGCAACAGGTATCTAGAACCTCTAAACTACAAGGCTGCTACTCTTCAGGAGCCTAAATTGGAAGCTAAGACATAATGTTTTCAATTTTTACTGTTTTTCTTAAAATCAGGTTATGCAGATATTGCAAATTACTAAATAAAATCTTAAGAAATCCAAAAAGAAAAAGAATTTTGTAATAACTGGCAGCACTACATATTGTAACAATCTACTAATATCAGCATAGGATGCAAGACTAAGTTTAAAGTATTTCTTTCCTGATATTTCAATTCAGTCCATATTTCCTTATATTTAAGGCATGTTTGCTTTGTTCCCTCTTTGTAAACCATCCCTGGTAAGTGTGCTATGCTTAGATTTACATCTAGTGTTATTTCCACCCCTACAACTCCATTAAAAGTTTTCCTTGACAAGAGTGTTGCTTTCCCAATAGCTGCACTTGTGTATTTTGAAAAACCACAAAATACCACTTTCAGCTTCCAAGGATGTCAGAATGACTTGCACATATTGGATAGCACAAAGATACAGCATAGTTCAAAGCTGTAATGATTCTCAATCTACTGTGGAGAGGAGAGAAAAAGAAGAAAATAATGTCTTTAAAAAAGAAAGATAAGCACAGAGGAAAGAGGAAAAAAAAATTAGCTGCTTCCCAGATTCCCCAAAGACACCAGATAAGAGTAGTTCCAAATTTCTAATTGCAAAATATGTACAGCAGATGTACCTACCAGGAGCATTACCTCCCATACATCTGCGGAAGAATATAAGTCACATTCTCACAAAACATTGGGGGTTTTTTGGGAGGACTGTGGTTTGTTGTTGGTTTTTTTGACAAAGAGGCAACCAAATCATCTAGCTCTATTCCAGTCCCACTGTACGGTTAACATAGGTGTTTAAATAACTAAAAAAAAAATTATTATTTACCAGTCCATAACACACCAAAGTTCCTTCATATTGTTTTGAAGAATGGTTCCAGTAAGACCTATGCGAACACTGCATTTTAATGACTTCATGGTTTGAGTTATTTGAGCCTTTGGATTCTTGATTCTGTGTGCTTCATCCACTATCACAGCAGACCATTCTACACTGCAAATAACAGAAAACATTGTATTAAGTGAAACTATTTATCTGGTCATCCCAGATACACATACAAAGTCAAATCAGCCCCACACGTACCTATAATTATTATAAGGCACTCTTACTTTTTGGTTTTCCTGTTTTACAGTGTATTATGCTACTCCTCATATTGTTTGTTTAGTAAATTCAGTTGCCATAGTTGAGCATAATGGCTAAAATAAATAGCTAAACATATTAACTACAACTAACTACATCAAATGCTCTCTGTGAAGAGAGTAGCTTTCAAACTTTACAGCAATCACATTTCCTTTTCACAAAAAAACCTATCCAGTGAAACTAATAGGGTGACAGCATTCCAATATGTTTAGTCTCCTACATGAAAGCACCATTCAACTTCTTTAATATCTGTATGATACCAATATGGCAGAGTATTTTTAATATTTTGTGATTTCGTGACTACAAGGAATACGTCAAGCAGGGAGTCAAAGGTATCTTGCAGCCAGTTTAAGCATAAAACTAAGAGATAAAATGAACTGCATACTGTGATACTAATTAAGTCATCGCATTGCTAGGAAGAGATTTAACTTTATGAGACTGCTTTTTATATATATATATACACACTCAAATTCATATTTCAGAAAAAAAATCATATCCACTTCAATACCATTTCAAGTAGCAAAAAGCTCCAAAATAAAAGTTTAGAATGCAACCTCTATCCTGAGCAGGCTGCATTCAGTTCAGTCAAGTGAAGGCTGATCTTGTGGCATTTTTTATGCCTGCTAAATACATTAATTCAGATCCAAGTTCTCTACATGCCTAAAATCTGATAAAAACTGGAGTTTGAGAGGAGTGATGGGGCAACAAAGCTGGTGAAGGGCCTAGAGAATAAATCTTATAAAGAACGCTTGAAGGAGCTGGGATTGCTCAGTCTGAGGAAAAGGAGGCTGAGGGGAGAACTCAGTCTCTGCAACTACCTGAAAGGTCTCTGTAGAGAGGTTGGTGTCGGTCTCTTTTCACAGGTAATTAACAACAGAACAAGAGGGAATGGCTTCAAGCTGCAACAGGGGAGGTTTAGACTGGACATTAGGAAAACTTTTTTTCACAGAAAGAGCAGTTAGACACTGGAATAGGCTGCCCAGGGAGGTGGCTGAGTCCCCATCCCTGGATGTGTTTTAGGGTCATTCGGATGTGGCATTGGTGGCATTGGATGTGGCATGGTTTAGGGGAGAACTCTGTAGAGTAGGGATGATGGTTGGAGCAGGTGATCCCAAGGGTCGTTTGCAACATGACTGGTTCTATGATTCTATGACTATATGTTAGTTCCTTCAGCTTCCCCTTTTATTATGCTGATTAACATGCATAACTGAATCTACATGCTCTTATTAGTGAAAACTAATTATTTCAGACCAGTTTTTGAGGCCAATACATCTACAAGGGCATACAGTGATAGGATGACAGGTAATGGCTTTAAACTGGGAGAGAGAAGTCTTAGATTAGACATTAGAGAGGAACAAAGTGTTGACTGTGAGGGTGATGAGACATGGGAATAGTTTTCCAAGGGAAGCTGTGGAAGCCTCATCCCTGGAACCGCTCAAGGCCAGGTTGGATGGAGCTTTGAGAAACCTGGTCTAGGAGGAGGTGTTCCTGCTCATGGCACGGAAGTTTGAACTACAGAATCTCTAAGGTCCCTTCCAACCCAAGCCATTCTATGATTCTACCAAAGCGAGACACTTAGCTTCTCCCAGCGTTGTGATCACAGGCCCTGACGGTTACATGTTCTGCAGAAGCAGTTTGGTGAATCTGTAAAAGTAACTAAAGTAATTTATTTTATTTATTTTCTAAAGTAATTTATTTGCAAGCAGTCAGTCACACATAAAATCTCTTCTGCACATGCACCTATTTCCTGACCACGCCTGAAGAGTTCCTCAGAAAGACAACAGCAAGAATCAGAGTACTGGCAACACAAATCCATTAGACTTCTCCTCTCTGAACTTCTTTTTCAGACCTGAGCAAAGATAGAGTTGAAGACCTAATTGTTCTGGTGATGATCATCCAGAACTCTAGGACACTTGCAGAGGCCTTGAACTTTCCCAGCCCCTAAAACAACAAGATCTGCAGGGCTACTGACAACGTAAGCTGCTAAGGGTGGGCTGCCACTATCAGTTATTCATAAAACTTGGACTTAACTTCCAAAGTTGACATAAGGATAAAGGACCACAAGTATCACATGAGAGGCTAGGTATCCTCGAATACAGCCAAAGGAAAGGCACCACTCTGAGTCTGAGAGTGCCGAAAGCTTTGGAGCAAACAAAGTAGCATTTCCAATACAATTTGCTGTCAGAAAGACCTTGATTCCCTAAGTCCATGAGGTATTCAAAATTACATACACAGCCAAAAATATGCATCTTGTATCTCAAAGATTTTAGGACTTAAGAATTTCATCAAGCTGGTGAACAGTGAAATAAAAATAAAATTAAAAAAAAAAAAAAATCCAAAATATCTTTTGCTAAGAATTCCAGATTTTTTTTCTCCTTACACTGTACTGAAAGATAGAAATATCTTCTGCCTATCTTTTAGTTACCAGTTTTCAGGTAGACCATTCTTGCAACAAAAACTGGCTTTTCTCCTCTGTTACACAGTGTGTGATTGGATTTACAAGTGAATACATTACAGGTAAGACTAAGTACTTGCTAAGAACAATGCAAACTTAGACAGATAGTTAAAATTCCATGTGTAAGAAAACAGATTTAAAATAATTACCTGTTAAATTCATCCAAATACAGGCGAAGTACCTCATACGTTGTAAGGGCAACTTCATATTTCCCTTGCTTGATGCGACTCAGGTCATCATCCTTTTTAGTGCCATGTAAGACAGAGACCTTAAAGTACCCCCATGTGTCTAACTCATCCTTCCAGTTGTACAGCACTGAAAGAGGGGCCACTATGAGGAAAGTCTGAAAACAAATAGTTGTTCTAGTATTACTGGAAAAACTAGTGCATTGCACTTTCTCAATAAGGAAAATAAAAATCTTGACATTTATTTTAGTGCTTTATAGTTTGAAGTGTTTAATTCTGTGACTTAAAAACATTGTAGAGAAAATATCTGAAGAATCAAAAAAAAATAAATCAGTTTACTCAGATCATATTAACAGTACAGAAAGAAAATGCTGTAATACTTGAAAAGATACCAAAGTAGTGCTACTTACTCAAATTATACTCTAACAACTGCAGTAAGACATGAGATGCTATCACTTCACTTTGTTAATAGTATCTGTACCTGTGTACAGATGTTCTACAGATGAAGAAAACAAGATGATGAAGAGAATAAGCAGCTTCCTTCAGTTCACAGATCTACTCAATATTTGACTTCAAAACAGAAAGACCTGAAAAGGGTTTCAAAATTCAAGACAGCTCACACAACTACTTTAATACCACATAAAATCAATGAGGTGGGATGTCAGGAAGTTTCTAGTCCAACTTTCTGGTCAATGCAGGGGCAATACCGAATTCACACATTTAGGGCTTTACCTACACAGGTATTCAAAAGCCCCAAGGATGGGGTGGTCCACAGTCTCTCTCTGTGAGCTGTTCATTATTCAGCTGTCCCCGAAGTTAAATTTGTCTTCCCTTATTCCCAGTTGGAGCATTCCTGGGTTTTTTGCTGGATTTTTTTGTTTGTTTTTTCACATGAAGTGCTATCCCTTCATCTCTTCTTCTCTGCCTGTCTTTCCTGAGAAACCTGTATCCTTTATTCACAAAGCTAGCATCATATGCACCATTCCACCAGTTAAAATTCAATTATTCCAATGAAACAAAAATAGCCAGGAAAACAAATTGCATGGGTCCCGAGATGTGTAAAACAAAGACGACCTTCAGCTTTCTCTCGTTCACACAGAACTTATATATGCATCTTTATTTGCTGTATTTGATTACCTAAATTATCAGACTTACTTCTGACACTGGGACAGTCACTAAAGAACATATGCAAGGTCACAATAATATTAGCAATAAATTATCCAAATATATGCATTTGCTTTATTTAATTACCATGTGAATATTCACATTTTCTGTGCTCTAGAAACTCAGTCACACACTACTCGACTTTTCAAGCTACTCAAGCAAAAAAAAATCTCTCATCCAGATATTTCTGTATGTTTGTGTTAGTGCAGATCAACATTATTAACAGACTAGACAATTACAGCTAGATAATGCACTATGACAATCCAGAAAACTGAAGGCTTCCCTAACACTAGTAGGAAGACCAGGAACCCCTAATCTAACTGAATCGCGGAATATTAAACATTCACATACATAAACTCACAAAGCAAAGAAACAAACAAAAAATCAAAGTATTGCCTTTTACCAAAATCCTTAAGCTTGTACCTTCTTGAGGTTACACTTCAGTTCTTTTTTCATTGTCCTCAGTAAAAATTCTGGCATGTTATTTTCAATATCTTCACGTGTTCCCTTTTTGTGCAACACTGCAGCCAAAAATGAAATTACCTTGAGAAAGAGAAGAATACTCAGTGATTATGTTAAAAAATGCAAACAGAAAGTTAATTAGTTCCACTGAAAATAAACATTTAGGACAAAATCCTGGATGAGATTTAGAGAAGGGGAATTGGGTGTCTGAGTTTGTTTTAAATCAATGTGTTCTTTGAATGGGAACCCTTTCCCTTGGAGCACCCTGAATTCACCATAAGAGAACTGGTTTATTTACTCTTTTACCCTTTAAGTGGGTAAGTCCCAAAAATACAACATATTATGAATGACCCAGCAAAAACTAGACATGAGGCATGCCTTGCAATTTTCCTCCCATTTTCATGAGGACAACCGAATCTTAGATGAGAAAACAGAAGAAAGAGATACTTGCTAACTATACTTCCAAACCACTTATGTAAAAGGAAGAAGAGATTTAAATTATAAATCAAATTTTTACTAATATGGCTTTTTTCTGTATGTTCAATTCCTTCCAATTCCTTTTGTTAACTTCAAAACCAGTTATTTCTGCTGTTTCAGGGCCTGCATCCTCACGCCTGCCTCACCTTTTATTTTGAGAAGACACTTCTTATAATATATCAGTGGGTACAAACATTCCAGCAGAGCCTATTACAAGCTCCTCCCATGATAACTCAAAACAGGAAGAAGGCATAGAAATATCTGGCCAGAACACTCAAGTATATAAAATCCACCTGGTACTCATGCAAGAACCAGATGCACCACAGAGGTGCCCTTCTTTGGAAAAATCAACAGACCACCTTTACTGCTTCCTTTGGCAGCCGCTGCACAGCTGCTCATAGCAGAGCAGAGGTAAAACCATCTGTTGATTTCCAAAAAGGAGGAAGTTTCCAGAGCTTTCTCCCTCTAATGGTGTGGGGAAAAGAACCAGTCAGGAGTGCAGAAATACAGGAAGAATACCTGAGAAGACTAAAGGCAGATGAGCATAAGAGAGAGGACACTCATAACATACGGGGCCTTGGGGTAGGTAAGATATGTAGAAGAAAACCAACCATTTTTATACATAATATTTCATATAAACTGAGGCTAAGAACTGCAAGTGCGCATGTTGCTTGACTTTAATATACAAATGTTTAAAATCCTAATAAAACCCTATTGAACAAAAAATCTCCATGTGTCGTCAAGATCCTCCATTTTAAAAAAAATTATGCATCACAATTTTTTAGCAATAGCAAAAGGGCAACTCTGCTGAGTAAACTTTGGCTCTTCCAGACAAAGCAGGAAGAAACCTAAAGGCCTCAATAGGAAACTTTAACTTAAAGCAATCACATTAAGAAACAATATTGTTCTACTTCAACTTGAAGCAAAAGAGCCATACAGACAGGCCATTTATGCAAAAATCAGTTCGGATGTACCAAGAATACTAAAATGTGAAATTTTCTAGAAAGTCTCTCATAAATCAACTTACAATTCAGAAACAAGGTTCAGCCAACTAAAAAAAGTAAGACAAATTTTATATAAGCTCAATCAGTTACTTGCCACTTGAAGTATAACCAATGCTTATTTTCATAAATAGTATCATTTTCTAAACAAGTTAAAACCTATTACTTTATATCCACTCAACTGCCTTTCCCATACTTGAACCTGAAAAACAAATACTGTGTTTTATACAAAATACACAAGATACTCTTCAAAACTTCTACCTTTCTTCTACCAACTTGACACTGTGATTAAAAGAAATAACCATGAGATGTGAATTCCACAGAAGAACACACCGTCCCTGAGCAGTAAAAGTGACCAGGTCATTACAGAATCACTTTAGAGATTGCAGTTCTGAGCAGAAACAAACTTCAGTAACTACTGAGTTCTTAAACTGCCATTGACAAGAAACATGGCCAAGTTTGGTAAAAACCTAAGGTAAATGTATTAAGTTTACTTTTAATAAACATCTGTTAATAGATCAGCACCACCTGATCACAAATCAATCATGTGCTTCTAAATGCTCTACCCAAAGAAGGTCTGCCAGTTCAGTTTACTCTCTCCTCCTACCAAGTTTGCTATAGAGCAATACTTCTCTGCACTCATGGGTGTCTGTCAACATACTCCTAAGAAGGGTAACAGATGCTACAGCAAGAATTTGTCAGTGGAGGAATAAGCTTTCATTTGACACGTGGAGAAAGAAAAAAGAGGGGGACAAAAACTAACCACTGTAAGATTCAAGCCGCTAACTTAAAACCAGACAAATTAAAGAGAATTTTCAAACATAAAACCACCATAATTTTAGTAAAATAAATAAATTGTTTGGATCACACTTATTCAAATCCTAATGGAAAAATCCAGCTATATTTGTACTTTCATCAACCCAACTTGTTTGTCTAAGAGAGTGATAAAAAAATTACATAGAAAGTCTAAGAACTTCTTCCAGATACAGGACTAAATGTGTCTGCTCCTTCTTACTCCCAGTACAGTCAAGCTATGGGTTTCCATGAAAAAAAAAAGCCATTTAAAGAGCTATAGTCAGATAAGAGCTGCAGGTAGTTTTAGCATACTCTAGTCCACATTACTTTCATGAGGCATAGGTAGCAATCCTCAAACATTCAACATAAATGAACACTAATATTGTAACTACCATAACTGTCCATACTTACACTAAAAGGGGACACATCACAGTTTTGTGGCCTGTGAGAAGTGAATCTTAAATACAGCAATGGCTCCTGGCTCTAAGTGCTGTCCTGGATGGTCATGTCCTGCCTCCTCAAACTCCACAACAGAAATGTAAAGATTAAGCTCCACTGAGGGGTCTATTCTTAAACACTTTTTTTTTTTTTAAAAAGAGATTTACATCTCGCAGAAAAAACACATTGCCAAAAAATAATCTATTCTCTCAATGAAACAAACAAAAAGAATACCTGTACTGTCTTCCCAAGGCCCATATCATCTCCAAGAATACAGCCCCTTTTATTAGTATAGTGTCCATACAGAAATTGGGCTCCTTCCCTTTGATAATCACGAAGGTATCTGTTAATTGTGTATGGAATAAAATCACCACTGACAGATAACTTGAAAGAAACTGCAGGAGATGAAAGATTTCGGTCTGGAAAATAAGGCTTTTCCAAATCACCATCATCAAATATTAAGCTCTTCTGGGGTCCTCTACTGGCTTCAACTCTACAAAGTTTAGTTATTAGTATTTTCCTTTCTTCAGACTCCAGAAATGATACAATAGCAAATGATTTTCCATTCTTGTCCTTTTCAATAGAGGATATTGTTCCTTCATGAAGTTTCCCATTTTCAAGACAAGGGGCAAGGCATTTCTCTCCAATACGCCAATTATCTATAAAAAATAACAAAACAGCATAGTCACAAACTGGCAAAATGTATGAAGTATTTCATTCTGTCACACTAATAAAACATTGGATATAAATTTATTTCACAAAGTGTGTAAAGCTTAAAAAATTTTACTGAAAGTAGTACTAGAATTAGGATACTGAATTACTATTTAGAGCCAAATCCTGATGTAGGTATTAATTTGCTGAAGTAGTGCTATTTTGTAAATATCTGAAAGTCTATAAAAAAAAAATACCATGTAAAAGCCACATTCTTAGGCACTAAGTTGTTCCACAAGTTTTTCACGTAAGTACAGATATGCTGATGCCTGCAGGTTTAGTACCCAATTAACAGACCACATGAACTGGTCAAAAAGGTTTACTGTACTTCTGATCTTCCTGAATCTAGTCTTGGAGCTTTACAGATACAATCACATAGGAAAACATCACCTTTCTCCTAACACAGTCTGGAACAGGTGTAAAATCTCTACCATAAGGCCGCCCCCATCACCCTTGACACACTGAACCCCACAACCTGTGACCTGTACATAAGCTGCTCCATAGCTTCAGCCATTCCTGTTGACCTCAGAGATTTCAAGCTCTAACATATCTTTTTGAGGCAAAGGATGAAGTACAGACAGTACAGTCAACAAACCACACATAATTAATCCATTAGAGTTTAAAGCACTTGTCCTGCCTCACACAAATTCTCAAATTGGTGCAAAAAACTGTGCACGTGAACTCCCAGCAGCATCTATGTCTTTGAGTAATTTCTGAGCCAGACTTAGAAAAATGAAACCAGCTATATATAGCATAATGTTAAATATGCAAAGCAAGGTTTAAAATAAGAGACAGCATTTCCATAATTATTTTCTTTTACAGTAATATCTGACACTGATTTAAAGATTCTCAAGTTAAGCCTGATTTAAGATGACAGTGCTATTGTTTTTAACTATTTACTTGAGTTTCATGAGTTGCATAAGACTTATTAGAATTACGGTTTCAGGAGCAAGTGGAGTAAATTACATTGGACAACAGTTTCAGTGAAACCAAACTGCAAACAGAATGAAGAAAGAAAAGAAGAAAAAAAAAAAAAAAAAAAAGAAAGATGCAAAGTAATGGCATTAAGGAAATCAAAGTAACAGTATAAAGGAAATAATTGCTACAAAACACCAGAAAACAATATTGTACCAGTAAAAAAAAGAAATGCTACTTTAACTAGCCTAATTCACTAACTTGCTGGGCTTTGAACCAGAAATTAAATTAATGTAGGGTACTATCTTTAAAAATAAAGAAAACTTTCTGGTGTAGATTCTCAGGATGGGTACGCTACACTTGACATCAATGAAGAAAGCTGGTATTAAAGATGTCTGCCTATATTTAACCCTTTTATCACAATCGAAAAAATGTGTCATTATATATATTGCCTGTACTAAACCGTACCGCAAACAGCCTACTGTCACACACTAGCTCATTTCACCAACTGTTCTTCTACCAAAGAAAAGCAAAAGTACCGTGAATGCTTTTCTAACTGTTGAGGTTTGACCACTTAATGTGATATACAAAGGGGTTTTAATGCTCCAATAAATGACTGCAAAAGCAAAATTCCAGGGCACTATAACCTTCTTAAATTGCAAAGCTTTGCTAAAAAGTTTTTAAATGAGGCTACAAAAACCCCTAAAATGTTGTATTTCAAAACAAATCTTTTGAGCTTACTTTACCACACGTTTCCATTTGTCCTGAGAAAAACTCGAAAGCTTCTGATAAGCAGAACCGATTAGAACAGTTTTCCCACCGAGCGTGTCCAAATCATGGACCCCACCACACGCAGCTCCTCCATTCAAATGCCTCAGCTTTGCTGTCAGGCGGGGCCTCACAGCGCTGTGCACTGACAGCAAACTGACACCCCGGGTTACCAAACATCTCGTAAATTCCACATCTGCTCTCATTTTCTTACTGGGCTAAGGTGAATAAACGATAAGCGCCTGAACATGGCCCTGGAAAAACACACGGAAGGTGCTTACCTGGGACATCATCACTCATTTCAACTTCTGGCCGTGCGAAGCCCAGCAGAGCCCGTGAGCGGAGGCACTGGGGGCAGCTGGGGACCAGCCGCAGGTCGGCTTTTTGGGTGCTTCTCATATATTTATATGATATATGTATACTAATCATATACAACTGAGTCACAGTATCACAGTAGGCTTCTGCGATTAAACTGGCAGTGCTGGCATTGCAGTGGGATGAGACCAATTGCAGATTCACAGAGGCATCTCCTGAGTTATATCTGAGTATCAGATCATGATCCGCAGCCTGATCTTTCTTGCAGGGATTATTTCACTTGTAGTAAGCAATTCTTGCATACTTAGATTCTATGCTTTGATAGTGAAATATCCTGAGATTGATATATGTGTTTTAAAGCATGAGTCTTCCTCTTAAAAAACATGGTTCTGTTTTTTAAAAGACTGGTAAATAATGTTGAAAAAAAGTAACAATTCTTGTTATGACTGTCTCTTCTTAGAGAAGTTCTTAGTATTACCCATTTTGTTCTTGACTTCGTTGGCCATCAGCTTGAGCAGCCCGACCTACACTGTGACAGCCTTGCTGCAGCTGGAGTGGAAGGAAGGAACTGGAGCAGAGTAGGAACCAGATCTGCATCAAGATTGGGAAGATGCTGAAGAGGGGGGGGCCCATGTTCTTCCCCTGACCATTTCCAGAAGAGCCTAACTGGATGCAGTAATGCTTTGCGACTTGCAGATTCAATCAGTGGCAACCATCTTACTCTTGCTGAAAACATCCAGCCCTGCCAGGAAATCTCTACAGATTGCCTTGGATCTTGGTAACATTTTACTAAAATGTTACATAAAGGGTGGATGTTCCCAGAACCTTTCTATTAGTTTGACGAAATACTTCAACGTGTGTTTAGTAGTGCAATCCTAAGTAGTTTCACTTAAAAAAAAATCAAGAGTGTGTAAATATGCAAGATCTATTCTTAAAACAGATGTTTGCTTAATTAATGCATGAGGTGTCAATTTGGGAGGATTCTCTTTCATTGTTTGTAATTACCTAATAGCTTTATTAATTTTAATGACATATTAAGGAGGGCTTAAGCATTAGAGAATAAAACATGATCATGTTGGTATGTGCGGTAAAATTGCATACAATGGAGATGGATAGACTGGCTAATCAGAATTCTGCATCCTACAATATTTTCAGAAAAAAGGCAAGACAATACGCTTTCTAACACCTGGATCTCTGTGCTCATCTTGTGTACAGCTGACATGCAGTCCTGCCTGCTCTGAGTAATGAAGACTTGCACCCTGAAGCAATATTAAGTTTCTTCTTTCAGTTATGTACTATTGCCAGAATTTTGTCCCAAAAGAAGTTATTTCAAGATGCATGATTTTTTTTATTAGCCAGTTACATTAGAGTGATGGGAGAACAGCAGTCATGAAAGCACTAGTATAGTTGCTGCAACAATACACTACTTGAATATCACCTACCACATATTTTAGAGGGAGTTGTTCAAAAAGACAAATACAGAACCAATGCATACTTTACATTGTTTTAAAAGTATACATGTAGTAATGCACTTAATTGCATTTATTTCAGAGGAATGTGACAAGAACTGTACCGTCAGAAAACCAAAGCTGAAAACATGATGACAATTCAGATGTTAAAGATTTGGCAACATGAAGACCTCAGATGCTTACTACACCTCTGCCCTTAGAGCATTGAAAAATCAGAATATAGGCTCTGATTATAAGGCAAGCTTTTAAATGGGATCATATTTGAATGTGTTTTTATTCCACAAAGTGTTTACTTAACAAATATATTGCATTTGATTCTTACTGAGATATTTGTGCTTAATAAGAACTCTTTCATGGCGACTACAGCTGTTATTTTATAGTCACAGATACAATATTATTACTTCATAATAGAAGGAAATAAGAAACAGATTAAACTCTTGTTTAAACACTTCAATTTTTCTAATAGGCAGTAAAATTCTGCCTACACTCCAAGGATGTTTTTATGTCAATGGTAAAACCTCAGTGGCTTAGCTTGAAGTGGAATTGCACTTGAAAATCCCAGTGAAGTCACTAGGATGAGTCTCTATTACAGTTTGGTACACTCTTCTCATAAGGAGGGAGGAAAATAAGAGGAACGCACCTTTAACCCGAAGCGTTTGGTTAGCATGTCAACAGGTGGTTTTCCTCTTGCCATTAAAATTTATCTGGCAGATTACAAGAAGTATCTATTTTTACTCCACTTAAAAAAAAAAGCTAGAAAACAAGCTGGCCTACTGAAATCAGGAGCATATTGCCATAATGGAAATTTTTCCAGAGGCCAGAGAATTACAGAATCACATAATTAGTTTATTCTGTCATGTAGCTTTGAAAGTTTTTTGAGTATAAAAGGCTTATTTCAGGCAATCTTTCTAGCTCAGGGTAGAATTTATTTGCTGGGATGTCAGAAATCAAGTCATAGTGTTTCGTATCATGTTCCTGCAGTGAAAGGGTTGTAAAATGAATTTATTTTGAAAAACTGTTGCCATTACTGAGAGGTTGAATATATCCAACCTCTATATGAAATTTGGAGCCCATTTATTAAATCTGAACTAAGTCAAATGAGAAGTGTTAGGCTCAGATAACAAACAAAGTTAATAGGATAACGGGGATAAGCTCTCCTAAAATATGTGCTATGTCCCTCCCTGAAAGCATTTCATCTGTAACATTGTGGCCCTCCTGTTCACTCTTCTTTGACAGAGTGGAGATTAATTAACAGATGTGCATCTAAAAATGACAGCTTAGTTACATTTAAAGCATCTTCCATGTTAGTGTGACTGAAAACAAAGCAAGCTAGTGATTCCCAGATGCACTTAGCATTTGCAAGTCTAACTGAAACCCAAAGAAAGAACAAGCACCCAGAATTTTTTATAAGGTAATTCAGTTTAATTCTTTACTAGAAGAAACAAGAGGTGGTTCAATTAAGTGGTATTAATTAAGCATGGAAGCCTTAAAAGTGCTACAAAGAGAAACTTGTCATGTGATGTGCACTGAATTAGTGTTTTAGAAGGCCTTTTGTCTCTCCAGCAGCTCATTTGCCACAGTATTTTACACATTACCCATTCAAGCTCTCTAGAGTTCTTTGAGGAAATCAGGCCAACAGTGCTTGGAAGTGTGTGTACCCTAATGCACAGCCTACAGGGATACTGGAGCCCTTGTGTGCAGCTGCAGGGCTAGTCTTTTTGGGATCACAGGGACATGGTAGGATAGCTCACATGACTAAAGAGCTGCTGCAGACAGATCTGGGCCAGGAAGGATGAGCCAGGGCAGTAGGAAGCAGAATTGGCATTTTATGTGAGAGCAGCAGGGATACGTGAAGCCTGGTCTGTAGTGACCATGAGATGGCGGAGTCCAGGATCTTGAGAAACGGAAGAAGACAGCTAGCAGGATCATAACCCTGGACGTCAGGAGATCAGACTCATGCCTGACCAGCCCATTAGCCTTCTACAATAAAATTACTGGCTTGTTGCAAGAAATTTATGTTGTTTACTTAGACTTCAGCAAAGCTTTCACTACTTTCTCCCATAACATCCTCTATATAGAGGCTGATGAAGTATGGGCTAGATAAATGGGCAGTGAGTTGGACTATAAACTGGCAGAACTGCAGGGCTTAAAGGATTGTTATAAGCAACACAGAATCCAGCTGCGGTCCCATTACTAGTGGAGTATTTTGGGGTCTGATACTGGGGCCAGTACTGGCCATTTCATTAATTGCTTGGATGGTGTGACGGAGTGCATCCAGAATGCACTGACAGTATCTTGGCCTGTGCCAGGAAGAGCCTTGCCCAGCAAGTCAAGGGAGATGATCCTTCCCCTCTGTTCAGCCCAGGTGAGACCATATCTAAAGCACTACGTCCAGTTCTTGGCTCCTCACTACAAGAAAGACATGGACATATTTGAGAAAGTCCCGAGACAATAAAGAGATTGCAGCATCTGACCATATGAGAAAAGTGGAATTATGAAGCCTCAAAAAGAGAAGGGGAGATCTTGTCAGTGTGCATAAATACCCAATGGGAGGGTATAAAGAGGATGGACCCATGTTTTTCTCAGTTGTGCCGAAGGCAGGAGGCAATGGGTGCAAATTGAAATAGGAAATACTTAAATATATGGAATAGCTTTTCTGCTGTGAGAGTGGCCAAACACTCCTACAGTTTACTCAGAGAGGCTGTGGAATCCCCATCCTTACAAAGAATCAAAAACCAACTGGACATATGCCTGAACAACTTGCTCAAGGTGACCTTACTTTGAGGTTGGACTGCATGTTTTCTAGAGTCTTTCAGCCTTGGGAGACGGACTTTTTAGTGGGGCTTGTAGCATTAGGAGAAGGAGTAATGTTTTTAAACTAAAACAGGGTAGATTTAGACTAGATAAAAGGAAGATTTTCTTTATTATGAGGGTGGTAAAACACTGGACCAGATTGCCCTTAGAGGTCATAGATGCCTCCTCCCTGGAAACATTCAAGATCAGACTGGGGCTCTGAGCAACCTGATCTGGTTGAATATGTCCCTGTTCATTCCAGTGGGGTTGGACTAGATGACCTTTAAAGGTCCCTTCTTGCCCAAACTGTTCTATGATTCTAACCTCAGCCATTCTGATTCTTTGAAGAAATTTGCAAGACAAACTGATTTCTGGCTAACTGCTTATGGTATCTTTTAATATTAAAAGTTTTAAATACCAGGCAGATTACGGCCTGGTTGAGTCCTGTTTGTCACAGAATCATACAATGGTTTGGGTTGGGAGGAGCCTTAAAGACGATATAGTTCTAGCCCCCCTACCATAAGCATGGACACCTCCCACTAGACAAGGTTACTCAGAGCTCCATCCAACTTGGTCTTGAACTCTTCCAGGGGTGGGGCATCCGCAACCTCCCTGAGAAACTTGTTGCAGTGCCTCACCACCCTCACACAAAACAATTTCTTCCTAATGTCTAATCTAAATCTACTCTCTTGCAGTTTAAAGCCATTACCCCTTGTCCTATCC